CCAGGCCTCTGTTCATCGGATGATCAGCCATGTTTTCAGTAGCACCTCAGTGTGCCAACTAAACAGTGATGCCCTGTCCCTCTTATTTCCAAAGAGGTGAGAGAGACAGGCAGAATTAGCTGTTTTTGCAATAGTCACAGTTGGACAGAGTGGCACAAAATTCCTATATTCTGAAGCAAAGAGAAGGAACTACGTAAGGTTTATTTTAAACAACCTCTGTGCTCCTTATACATGACAAATCATCACAGCAGCTGCTGAGCTGTCAAGTTTGTACTTGTCTTTTTGTAGCCCATTGATGATCTTTAGCATCATCAGCAGCAAATATCCACAGTACATTGTGCTCTGGCCAACGCATCTCCTGCGTAGGAACTTGGAAGTTGGGCTAATGCAAAATACTTGGATCAGATCTGCAGGGAAGGTGTCAGAAGGCACGTTCCCATCTATTTTCATCTAATGCAAAAGGAAGCCAGCTATTTACAGACAGAGCTGTTCTAAACAGAAGTTGACAGGCAGTCCAGGCTTTGTTACCTTGAGAGGAATAGAAAATATCCTTGGTCTTTTTAATAAACATTCTGTTGTTTGTGATTGATTAGGATCCAATTGCTCTAATGGAGGAGAATATTATGCACAGCATGAGTCAGCAACACTTTTCTCCTGGAACAGCTGACAGCAAAGAAAGTTCCCAAACTCTCCACAGAATTCCTCTCCCTATATGAGAATCTGGACTGCATCCACCAATACCTGCTGGTGTGTCCCCTTGAGACAGACCTGTACTTGTCTGACTGGCATATGGAACCATCCAAGGTTCATTTGAGGTTAGAAAACACAACCCAATGTGCAGCAAAAGCGCTCGGGAGCTGATGCAGAAGAAGAAAGGGAAATCAGTCGCAGAAGTTCAGAGTGCCAGTGCATGTTCCAGTGGTTGGGAGCTTCAAAATGAGGTCCTTGACAGAACTGGCAACAGGAGATGTTACCTAAACCCAATGCTTACCTCATCTGAGGTCATTCAGTAAACAAGACAGTTTCTGTAAAACTATGTTTCTTGTAAAGAATAGATCTATAGCCACCAGATAAAGGGTTATTGGAAGCAGATTTGAAAGCTGCTAATCCATATGTGCACTCTCCACTCTGAGATAGGAAACAGTACACCAAAAATTCTTGCCCTGTTAGGATAAATTAAGTAAGGGGATGTATTTTAATATACTAAATGTTTGAAGCTTTTAATGGGCTCTTGGTAGAGCTATGGACTTCAGTGAAAAGATACTAGGAAAGAGTTTTCCCTGCTTTACTATACAATACCCACTACCTACTGACATTGCCCTGTAGCAGTATTCATGTTGAGAACAATGATGTAATGTTCCAGCACTTGAAGGACTGTGCACTGAAACAGGCCTAGCATCTGAACAGTCCCCATACAAATCCATACTTCCACTGAAAATTTTTGCCATGCAAAGCTACTGTTTGATAAGCAATCACATGTTTTGGATTGATTTTGTTCTTTCTGTTGTGTCTGTTGGATATTTGCTGCCACTGCATAAAGCTTCTAGCAGCTGCCAAGTGATTAGTTATGAGGAGTTCAGACATTTTCCTATGAAATGAGAATTTCTGCCAAAGGTGCCAGCCCAAAGCACAGCACTGCTGCTTTTTGAAGTATCCAGACATACGAAACCACCTAAATCATTCCCTGTTCCAAGTCAGCCAGCCTTCTCCCTCCCCTGTGCTCAGGTCAGTCAGTGTGCCAAGTGCTTCCTCCCTGTGAGCTGAGACCTTGCTCTGTGCCAAGCTGCATTCCCTGAGGTCTCTGCTCTCTACCTTGGATCTCAGGAGAAAGGGAGGGATACATGAACAGCAGCAAGACTTGCATTTCACAAAGTTGTTACAGATTTTTAGAAAGTTTACAACAGAGACACAGACCTTAAAAGAACAGTGTGATTGCCACAAAGAACAGTGTGGGAAAACCAGTATACATGCATGTGCAGCCCTCCCACATGCATACTGACTACCCCAGATATAGGCATACCCACAGATCAGCACCTACACAGAAATGTTTCTGACACACTTATTCTCAGCATCCTGTTCTCTTACAGCAGCCTCAGTTGAAGGAAGGGAGAAAATATGTTCCTTCTAACCTAATCTTCTAATGACCTTTCTGCCAACTCCACTTTCCTGCCTATCTCTAAGCTACCTGTGGTGGTGATGGGAACAAGATCCCACTGTAGAGAGATTTTCCTCCTCAGAGCTCAGCAGGGGCTGTCTGCTAGATTGTGGTGTCCTGCCCAGTTGCTCTTAAAAGAATCAGGGTAAAGAAGGAGATAAAAAAACTGTTTATGGTCACACCTCTTGGGCCTCTTACAGCTCCACTAGAGTTCTTACAGAGTTGAAGGATTGTGACTACAAACCAGGTGCACGTGGGCTCCCATTCTCTCTTCCCTTCCTGGATTGCGAACTCCCTGCCAAGCCTGGCAGCATGTCTCAGCCCTCTCACTCTGCCCTGCCTGTTTCCTACAACTGCCTGTAACTGCAGGGAAAAAAAGCTGGAGAGTAGGCAAACACAGCGATGTACCACGGGTGGCTGGCTCTGAATGCTCTGGTACAAGCCAGTATTTAGAGGGTGACCATCTCTCTGAGAGCTTTTAGAGCTCAGTGAGACACACTCCACAGCTGTATTCCAAAGCTGTCCTGCAGTAGTCTGGGAACTGTGGCGGATTTTTCTGGCAGGAGATATCTGACTCCCTTTCTTTTCCCTCCTTCTCTCTGGGACAATGTGGGAGATGGCACTTCTCAGTTGCAGGGCATTCCTGGCCTCCGTGCTTCCTGTCAGGGAGAGATTCATTAGCAGCAGAAAGGCAATTCTCTCTCCTTTCTGCTCTGGAATTGAAGTCGTTTGTCTCGGGAAGGAGCCCAGGCGCCTCACTCGCTGTGTGGCAGCTTCTGCTCAAGGGAGACAAGCACTTCGTCAATAAACAAGGAGCCTGGGGAATGGCTCCAGCTGACAGAGGACATTATTAATGACTGGCACTTTGTCAGAGGGTAGATCAGCCTCTCATTAGCTGCTTTAAGAGGGGAAAGAAAAACAGGGCTAAAGATGGAAGCCTGAGAGCAGCTGATAGTTTCAGCATCCTCCTGCAAAGTCCCCCATTGCAAGGCCCAGGGCTGGCACAGGCCCCAGGGAGTGACTGTATTTTTCCTCAGCATCTCCTGTGACAGCAGGAGACAAGCCCAGCTCAGGAAGGGTTTTGTTTCCCAGCCTAGCATGGGTGAACTCTGCTATGGAGATCTTCCCCCCTGTCCCCCTCTCAGTCAGCCCTGGGTACAAGGGGCAGACAAGGAGTGTCTTCCAGCATCTCCTACTGCAGCTTCTTATTTTGGAGGGCCTGTGGACCTTTGTGCAGCTCCTACCCATGTCAGTCAATGAAGAAGGCATTGAGGGAATTTGAGAGGAGGCTGTCCCACTGCCTTTGCTCTTGGGAAGCCATTAGTACAAGGAAGAGCAAGAAACACCATTCCCTATGGCCATGCACTTCTGTCTGTGACTGTAACTGGAGAAGCTGTGGACTTTTGTCATACTTGGACTCCTAAACTCATCTCCTTAGGTGGCCTCAGAAGCCTCTAAGCTCTAAAGCAACTGTTGAGTCACCTTAGAATCATACTTAATTTGCCACAGCACCATCAGGGTGGAAGGAAAAATCCCTGCTTTGTTGTGACATTGACAGTTCATCCTTCTCTGTCCTATAGCCCTAGAGCTGCCTGGAGAGTGAGTCCTTGGCTCCTTCACAAAAAGCATATGGTGCAAGTACTCAGCCTATGGAGTGGGTCTTTGTAGAAGCTTTTGTTTGGAACCACACTTGCAAACAAAGATGTGAAATCTTTCAGCTCAACACCTGAGTGTCCAACCAGCCTGCTGCATAACAGGGTGTAAGATCAGTGTCATCCCTGTCTCCGAGGTTTTTGAAGGAGGTAGCTCTGCATACTTCCTATCACTGTGGAACTGCAGCTGTGATGCCTTCATAGCTAAAGGTGCATTCATTGTCCTGCTCAGATCCTCAGATCCTGTGTCTGAGTGTGATAATGTGGCTTTTAAGCAATTTAAATATCTTTTCAGACTGAATATTCTTATGCTCAGCCTGAGATCAGGAGAAAATGTACTGGGGACTCATCCCTTTTTTTTCAAAGATTATTCTATGCTACAGGCATAAGGTCCAAAGTTTAGAGTCAGTTCTAGGTTCAGGTGCTTCTTATTTATTCCAAGACTTGGGCTCTTGCAAACGGAATGGATGGATCTGACATCAGAGTTCTTTGATTCACATTATCTAACCTGGGGCTGTTTAGATTTACAATTCAGATGTGAGCCCATCTTGGACAGATTTGTGAGGGTTAAACTGCCAATTGATTTTTACTTGCAGAAAGCTGGAAAAACTTTACTTCAAGACTGGCTCAAGGTCTCTCCCTTGTGGTTAAATATTACTGTTCTGGGGCTGAGATTGTTGTAGGGTCCCAGGACTACTGTCTCCAAGCTTGCTTCCACCATGACAGGAAAAAAGTCAGACACTTCTGGGTCTGCTGGTATTTATAGGATGAAACAGGTCCCACCCAGATGAATGGTCCATTTCTGCTCTGAAACGAGCTGTGGTCTGCTCCAAGCCCCTAAGTGGATTGCCTTCTGGCCAGCCTAGTGCTGTGGTGATTGAAAAGCCGAGTTAGAAGGGGGGTGGGTAGGGATGCAGTGTTCAGAGGCTGTGTGGACCCAAACTAGCTAGATTCACGGAACTCATCACTGAAATCACTTCTTGCATTGCCTCTCTGTTTTAATTCTCCCTGAAACAGCCCTCTCCTATGAGTGAAACAATCTTGCCTGCAGATTGAGGGGGGTGGGAGGGATTTGAACATTAATCTGATGTAGATTATACATCCGCCTCCCTCTCTCCCCCCTTCTCACTCACTCTCTCTCTCTCCCTCTCTCTCCCTCTCTTTCTGTCTGTTTCTCTCCCCTCCCTCTCCTTCCTGCTTCATCTCTTCAAGAAAGTGAACATAAACTAAAATACGGAGAGAGAGAGGCAGAGAGAGAAAAAGCTCCCTGAGGAGGGAAAGCCCCAGCAGTCAGTAGCTGTTTGGATTTGCCTGGTGCTGCCTTTCTTGCTTTGCTCCCAAGGAATACCTTTAATGGGATCAATTGCTTCAGTTCCTTTATAACCAAGTCCACCGGAAAGGCAGCCTCAACATATTATGGGCAACTGTGTGAAGTCTCCTCTGAGAAACCTCTCTAAAAAGGTATGTTCCCTGAATCAAAGTGCACTGTGCATTTTCAGCCCTGCTACTTGGGATGGGTGACATTGTGGGCAGATGAGAATGGGAGGTGGGAGAAACACAGAGATGAGTATGAAGGGTTCAGCTTCTTCACCAGACTTTTTCTGTAAGAGCTGCTCATGCAAGTGCAGCCAGTAGAGCCCAGCATGCAGAGAGTCATAATATGTATAAATAAATGTGTGTGTAGGCTCGTGTCCTGCTCACAGTGTGTGTACAGCTCTCCTCTGGGTACGTGCAAGCATGTGCTTGTCAATGTGCACAGTGTGCTGGCACACTCCTGTCAGGGCATCTTGATGTGCGGGTGTATGTGTGAGCTTGTGCTTCAGTTGAGAGTTACCTGCTTGAGTAATCACGTGTGTCATGGGTGTAGGGACATATATGCATGTATAGGTGAAGTGCCACGTGTTTGTACGTGTTGCCATTGCTGTGTAAGAGTATGCACACCTATGGGCCCATCTGAGGCACGTGTGTGTCCTTAGCTCTTTACGTCTCTCCACAGGCATCCGAGTGCCTGAGCAGGTTTGCTGTGAGTGCAGAAGGGAGGAATTCCTGTGTATCACACACACACACCTTTGCTTGTATGGTGCTGTGTGTGCTCACCTGCTGGTGCATGTCCTCACAGAAATCTGTGTGTAGACATGCACATGTTTTTATGGCTGTCCATCCTTACACACAGTTTTGTTGGTATATGTTTTGGTACAGAAGCAGGTTTTTCTCTCTCTTCTGTTTGTCCATGCATCTGTTTGTGAGTGGATACCCTGGGCCCTGGCTGTGTGTTTGTGCATCATGTTGCACATCAGCATGTCCCGTGTGTCTACATGCTTGGGCCCAGCTGGGCTTCATCTGTGAGCTGCCACATGTTAGGCTTCAGCCCACAGTCTACTCTGTGCTGAAGTTTTGCAGTGGTCCTGGCACAAATTAGATTCTGGAATGATTCTGCTGTTATGGACTGAGTTGAAATGGGAATGACATGCCCCAGAAACATTTCTTATTTGACTGAGGAAGATCTTACAGCACTGTGTACCTGTCAGCCACACAGTTCTCACTTGGCATTGCTGCAAATCTAATAGCTCAGCAAAAACCCATGCAGTTCATTTTCCATAAATGATAAAGTTATGCTGATCATCTAAAGTATTGCAATGAGATGCTGCCTCTGTGGAGACCTTGATGACAGTAAAATGCCTCTGCCATCAAGATGTTCAATCCAAGAGACCTTGCCACTTGGGAAAGCTTCTCTGGGAGGGAGCTGTCTGGGAGAGGACCTCCATCCTAGAGTGTTTCTTTTAGCTGCATGTTGGTCTCTTCTGTATAGAAACACAATTTGCTTGTTATCTTGGCTGCTGTAAACAAAGCCAGTAATGGCACAGTGCTGCTGTGGGGGAGCTGGGATACTTGGTGAGGGAATTCATCACCAAGTAGTTAGGCATTGCTGAGACCAGTCCCTAGGTCAGGATGACCTGCAGGGAGATGTAGAAGTAGCTGAGCTTCACCCAAATGGTGCACACATGAAAAACTGACTTGGTTGCTTGTAGGTCGCCTCCAACTTGGAATAAAAGAGTTGGCTGCAGCTGTGCAAGGCGATTGCAGTTAAAGTCTGACATGTAGCCAGGCTGCTTGAATCAAAATAGATTCAAGAACCTGTAAATTCTGTGTTGTCAGTCTTTGAGGTAATTTATGCTTTCTTTCCTAAAAGCTGCTTCGAATAAGTCACTTTGAGCCTAGTTATAAGACCTGGGGTGTCAAGGCTGAAGAGAAAAAGTTGCAAAGCTGAATTAGAGAATTTCTCAGACATCACTCTAGTGAGCTATGAAATAAAGCACTCATCCTGACAGGTTCTGGTACTCTGCCATTCTTTTGATCGCAACACACATGATTATAGTGGAGACTTTTCAGATCAGTCTTAACATTGCCTAACTTCACTTGGCTGTTATATGATCCCAATCATTTTTCTCAGATTTTGCTTTAAGCAAACTCATTTTGCTGAAATGTTAAAGAGGAGAGACTGCAGACATGTGTAGAAGCTGCTCTTGGGTGACAGTCTGAATACATGATTTCAACCCAAAGTTTGGGATTCACTCCCAGGCACCAGCTGGCTTGGTCTGGGTCTGGATGACACCACGGTACTTTGCTTGTTCAGGCTTTGACTCCATGTCTGTTGCTGGAAGCTTCAGTTTCCTATTGTCACGGTGTCCCCCACAGTGATCGTGGAAGCCAGCCTGGCTGCTTTTCCCTCCAAGAAATACTGCAGTTGGGATCAAGCCCCCTCTTGGCTTGCTGTTCTGCAAAGTCCCTCTGACACTCAGGAAGGAAAATGAAGTGAATCCTGGTGTGCTTCTGCTGTGCAGAAATTAAAAGCCTTGGCATCCAGGTCCCTCACTTTACCACACCTCTCCATTACTTTGGCCATCTCTAGGTCAACCAGGTCTCTTCCTACTCCATCATCTGCTGGTCTGACACAGCCATGGGCCAGACTTGGCCAGGAAGGTCATTGGTCCTTTGCCCGGGGAAGAGACTGGGAAAGCCTGATCTCCCCAGTCCTATCCTTACATTTTCTTTGTCATGCACAGTGCTGTTTCCCCTGTAATGGGTGACTGATGTTTCTTTGCCCCAGTATCACAGCTCCTTTGCCCTCTTTTCTGGGATGTAGAAGGAACATGGTGAAGGGAACTTGAGTGGATATTTGCAGGAGAACTTGTGAGACTGCTGGCAGAGGGAACATTAAATGCCATAAATCCTGCCTGCAGTGGCAGGGCAGGGAGCCTTGCTGAGCTGTTCACCTTGGTATTCTGGCACTGCAGCAGTTTGTCTGGTCACAGTCCTCAGTGGCTCTTGGCAACTGTTTTGTCAAACTGGCAACCTCTAGTGAGACAGAAAAATAATGGGATGACTATTATGAGGTACTGCTGTATAGCTTGGTGATAAACTATTGACTGGAAGTATCAGCAAACAAACATTTGGGGCTGTGGGGCTTTGCATCCTTCGCATGGCTTCATTGGAATTAAGCACAGAACTGATGTGGGGTATTTAAGTGATTCATATTATTTGGTATATTAAACTGAAAAATGTGCCAGGAAATAAAGCTGATGATTTTGAAAATACATTGCATTGATATCACAAAGCTGTGTAGCTCAACACAGATGTCTTGACATTTAGCTGAGCTAGTAATATGCAATTCCTGGATGGATGCTCATCTTTCAGTTTTTTAAGGACAAGTGTCCTATGTGTCAGAATTAATCAGAGACAGATTCCTTTTTCATCCATGACTGCAACAAAAATGTTTTTCTGCTTCATCATTTTCTTTCTCCATGGCTTGCTTTTTATTTTTGTTTTGATGCTTGATATTCACATGACATTATACATGAGCAGATTGGTGTAAGACTGTGTACAAAAAGGCAAATTACAAACCATGCATGCAATGTAATAGCACATGGCAGACACAACGAGTAGATACAATAGTCTCAGACAAGTGTGAATGGGGGATGTTTGTGTCTGGTCTCTTAGCCTGAAAATGTACCTCAGGCTTTAAGGAAAGGGTTAATAGAGACAATGACAAGTGACAGAGCTTCTCTGATCACCCCTGGGAACACTGGCTGTAAAAGTAGAATCATTCCTGAAGAGGAATCTGATGTATGATTAATGTTTATTCTGTAAAACCAAGGGTCCTGTGGGTTGTGTTGGCTTTTTATAGCTGCATGGGAATATCAGGATAAGAGGTTTTTTGCAGAGCCAGGGAAATGCATTTCTATAAAAGGAAAGCAGTGCCTCCTTATAAAATCCAGTGCTGGATTCTGTTCTGGAGCCTTAGCTTAGCAGGACGTGTGCACTTAGGAAAATGTGCAAATGCAAACACTCAAAAATGTTGTGCCCGTGCCTGATCTCCACTTTGGGACTGTCAGTGATTAAAACAGGCCAGGGCAGTAAGTGCCTCAAACCCTGAGGATGTAACTAATTAGTAGCTGCACAAGGCAGCGTGAGCCTGCAGTTGGCAGGGCCACCTGATGCTGTAAGCGGTCTTCTGATAACGTGATAAAGCAGCGTGTGATGCTGTGTTGCTGAAAAGTACCGTGGAGCCTGTGCAGTGGCTTTGTGCAGGCTCTGCCTGGTCTCCTGGGGATGCCCTGGCCAAGGCCCAGCAGGTTTGCCCGGGGCACGGGCTGGCACACGAACTGTTAAGTTGGGATGTGCTCGTCCTTTGCAGCTCATTCAAGGCAGTGGTAACTCTGGGGCTGATTGTGGGAGTGTGGCACTTCGGGCTGTGTCTGGGTAGATGTGAGCAGTGCGGAGAGTTTGATGTAATTTCAAAGTGAAATTCTCGTGGTTGGTTGTTATTCTTTCAGCTTTTGAAAGTGAACTCCCGGACTTACTGCTTCTGTACAAATCCTAATAGGCCGGTGGGGGGGACGCGGTGTGCAGCAGATGAAAGAAATGTAGCAATTATGTCTCTGCGAGGCGGTTCAGTAAAACTTCAGAGGAACGAGATGGGGAGGTAACATCCTCTGTTGTGTTGTTTGCTTGCTGCTGGTTGGCTGGGAAGATCCGCCATGACGAGAAGACGAGCTATAAAGCTGTCCAGACGAGCGAAGAGGGGTCGTCGGCTGGCGATTACCAGGGTCCGCTCATGGTGCTGGCCCAGAACTGCGCCGTCATGCACAACCTGCTGGGGCCAGCATGCATCTTCCTGAGGAAGGGCTTCGCAGAAAACAGGCAGCCTGTACGTAAGTTACACCCAGCGGGGCGAGACACGCACAAAGCCACGTGGACACGAGTCGGGGATGCCGAGCCGCCCCCGTGCTCTGTCTGCGTGCAGCTCTGTGACTCCCAGCCCTGGATCTCGAGCATCCCGGATCCAGCTCCAAGTGCCAATACAGTCACAGGCAAATGTCTAACCTGAAGGATGTGCAGATACCCTTGTGCCTAAACACCAAGAAAGGAGGATTCTAAAGTTGCAGCTATGGAAGATAGATCCAAGGCTACACTCAAGTAGCCGTAATCGTATGAATTCAGGAGAAAGTTTTAGGACTTCAGGACTTGCATAATCATATGGACTCAGGAATGGTCCAGTGCTCAAAGCTGTTATTTCAGCAAGACGCCCACCTCTCATTCCCAGGCTCAGATTAGCATTTAATGCCTAAATAGCCAGTTAAATGCAAATCAGGGCATCTGTATTGGGAACAAGCTGTCCATATTTGATACTGTTCCTATCAGTTCACAGTGAGCACACTAGTTCCAGCAGAAATAAGCAGACATTTGCCTCACAGATACTCAAACACAATCTCTTGTGCACTGACATACCCAGCCTGACACTGCGGCAATCCCAACCAGTTAAACTGAGGAACATCAGGCTGTCCTTATATTTGCAAGTAGTGCCAGGCTACCAAATGCTATCACTCTCCCACATGGAGAGAGAAATAGCAAAACCAGATCTATTAGTTCAGTCACACCTATTGTAACTAGGTGTTCATATGCATCCAATGTATGCATTTATATACAAACAGTAAAAATATGTGCTTGTATGTATGCACCCCAATATTGTGTCTTTACAAGAACTAAAACATATTTTTGCCCCAAACATTCTACTCCTACAATAACATGAATTTAAAGACAAACGGGAACATATGATTAATACACCTTTTATGGATATGTATGGGTGAATATGTGCATTGATCATTGATTTTCACCCAATGCCTTCCATGTTCTTGTGTGGAATCACCCCAGTTGCCTCAGAACCAAGGTTTATTGCCTCTGTAGGAAACCTCTGCTTTACTTGTGGGTTGATATGGTCGTCTACAGCTGTAGGAGACATGTAGGTCTTTATTTCTGAAACCTCTGCTTCAATCAACAACTCAAAAAAAAAAGAGTAATTATGTGTCATTATTGATCAAAGGGCTTTTTTTAACCTTCAGCCACTATGTGATCCCATAGTCCCTGTGCCAGGTCACTAAATCATGAAACACACTCTTGCAGAAGTACACTTGCTGACCTGCACAGAGCCACCTGTCACAGGAGATAGGCCCAGCTCCTTAGTGGACAGCTGGACAAGTGTCCATCCTGCTTAGGCCATGGAAGCTCACTGTACCCTAAGAGGTCTCCAAAATAGGATTAGTGATGTCTCTTAAGTACCCTGATGTAGAGTAAGTGCATCTAATACACAGCTTTACTTTTACTGATTCTCTAGACCAACAGGATTTATTGTGCATAGAGCAGAAATAAATGAGGGTAATACCATTATGTATAATGGACTCTCTGGGGGTCCCTTCTGCTCATATCTAGGATCTAAACTCTTGGAACAGTTTTTTTCCTCTTCCCATATGTTCTCTGAAGCTTTAGAGTGATTCAGGCCCATTTTATCCCAAGCAATTTTACTCCTTAATCATTTTAGGGGATCTTTCAAACTTAAAACAGAAAACCTCTTCATGACGTTAGTTACAACTTGAGTCAGATTTTTGGAGGACATAAACCCTCCCCTCCTTCTGCATTTGCAGTCTGTGGTAAATGCAAATTCTTTGGTGTGCAAAATTAGAGCCAGTGCTGAAGCCCCCACTTCTGACAAGTGTCACCAATGTCAGTTGCAATGTGGTCCTCAGTGAGGGAGGAGGAGGAGGATGCTCTTGTGAGGACTGTGCTGGAGGATGGCCCGGGTCCTACCCGGCCACTCTCACAAAGCAGCAGCTACTGCGGGTGAGTCACGGCGCCCTTTGCACCGCGGCGCTGGCGCTCACAGCCCTGCACCTGCCGTGCACCCAGCCACTGTCTCCAGGGATCAGTGTTCGCAGTCTCTGGAATAAAGTGCACAAGGTGCTGGAACTGATCATGGGTGGTTTTCTTCTGTTATTTTATCTAAGGCAGGAGGGCAATTATGCCTCCCCCATCCGGTCTAAGGAGTTTGAATTGTTTTATTACTTGGTGTTGATGAAAGCAGAACAAATGGGATGACATGTTTGAAAATACCAGGTCTGTGAAGGATGAAATGGCAGAGCCAGCATGCTCTGTCAGTTCCATCCAGCACAGAGATGCCTCTGGGAAGGTTACAAGTGGCAAGCTGGTCATTTCTCTGGCACAGCCCACTTCTGCACAGACGTAAACCAGTGTGTGTCCTAGTTTGCTATGCACTCTGAGCAGCTGCCATTAGAGTTTCCGGAGAAGCCTGTGGTTAAATAGCAAAGGATCATCCTCCTCAAACTGATCAAAGGCACCGTCTCCAGGCGCATGTGGTGAGGCTGGAGGACACCTGGAAGGCAAGGAGAAACTCCCCACTGTTGAGGGGAAAAGCCGAGAGTGAGACGACAAAAGAGATCGCATTTCTGTGTTTCCAAATTCTCAGATGTTTTGGATTTGCCTGGGAGCCATGAGAGGAATTAGAAAGGGCATTTAAACCAGAAAGCAGTGCATTTCCATGCTCATCTCTTCTTCCTGGTGCAGTGTTGGAACTTTCCTATACTCTTATATCCTCCCCCTTCTTCCAAGAAATTCAAATTGGATGTTTGAAGTTGCAGTGTTTCCTGAACATGGTGAATCCTCGTCCTGTTTCATTTGTAGATGACCTTGATGATGTATATGTTGTGTGTTTGCCTTCATGATTGGTTTCAAAATGCTTGTATGTGGAGTTGAGGCTGGGGGGAAGTTCCTACCTTTTTGTGGGGACAGATTGTAGGAGATACCACTGAGACATTGTCTGTGAGAGACCTCATGGCTGTTGCTGTCCTGCCAGAAGGACAGAGATCAAGCAGTGATCTGAGCAAATGATGGTCTAGACCTGCTGGTTACAAGGACTGCTTCCAGCTGCTTTGATCTGTGCGTGTCAGCGGGAGTGGCAGTAGAAATACAATCAGAGCTCCAGAGGAGATCATAACTGCTGCAGGGACAGTCTCTGCTCCAGAACTTAGTGCTGGGGAATGATGAAGCAGCTTCATGAGAGTGCCAGTAGTACCATCAGTGGGGAGGCTACAAATGCTGTGTTGATCCATGTCTATCCTGGTTCAGGGTCCACCCTGTCATCCCCCTGTTCACCAGATGAGAGGGAGAGGGGCTTCCAGAGAAATGTGTGCAGAGTAACACTCCTCTCTTTGGGAAGGAAAGCTGAGAAGCCTTCCTAGGTAGATGGTATTAAACATGTCATCACCTTCTTGTTTCTTCTCTCACTTTCTGGTTTGTTCCAGAACCCTTTGTACCAGCAAGTGCTATTTTGAAACTGTTTGTGACCAACAAATATCTTTAACATTATATGTTCTCTTTTTGCAGGATAGAGAACTGCGTCCGGAAGAAATTGAAGGTAAAATTTGTTGCTCCTTCTCTGTCTTCTTTTTCCCTGCCCAGTGAAAACCTATTGGCTGTCCCTTTCATGTTGGCCCCCATGGGTTAAAATAATTTGGGGCAAATCAAGGGAGATGATTACTGGAATAATTCTTGGAAACCCCAGCAAAATAAATAATGTATAAAACTGAGAGTCCTGACTGCGAAAGAATTTGCATCCATTCCATATTCTTCAGGGTAAGAGGATAAGTAAGTAATGGGATATTTATGTTAGGGAACTGCTGTCCCTCCAGCTCCCACAGAAAGTGTTGTGGAGCATGATGCTATCATATGGCTCCAAGGAAGCTGTTTTAGCTGCTAATCCCTACAGTGAGGGATATATAATAGAGTGCAGAGGTAAAAGCTGGAAAAACTTACTACTTGAAGTTTCTTTAGGGAGCACAGTCTAGCAATGAAGTGTTCGTGACACTCATAGTTCAAGCAAGCTTTCCTGTAAGGAACGGTCAGCAGCACTGCTGACAGAAGAGCTTAACTTTGCTCCAGTCACTGCCTCGTTTAGGGAGATCTGGTGGGAAAACAATGAGTATCTTAGAGAGTCTGGCTTCATAAAGTACTGCTGATTCTGGAGAGTTTTCTTGGAAAAGGTATTTCAAGCTGTCACTGACAATACTCTTCTTCCCTTCCCGCAGAATTAAGAGAAGCCTTTAAGGAGTTTGATAAAGACAAGGATGGGTTTATTAACTGCAGGGACCTGGGGAACTGCATGCGGACCATGGGCTACATGCCTACTGAGATGGAGCTAATAGAGCTCTCCCAGCAGATCAACATGAACTGTGAGTAACACACACCCAGCTGTACCTGCCTGTTGCTGCTGCACCCTGCATCATTGCCTCAGGCTCTCTTGGTCTCCAGCTGCCTCTTTTCTTTTGGATTTTTCCCCTCTCTTATTTGGTTCTTATTTTCACTCCTTATCATCTCTCCTGTTCGTTTGTGGTCCCTAGAAATCTATGCCTTTGCTTTTGCTTATCAAAGGGACTGTGTGGACTGCAGTGTATATGGGAACAGTGAGTGGAAGGGCTGTCCTTCATGCTTATGTTGTCAGGTGTAAAACTGCCCTTAATGTGGGCAGTCAGGCTCTGGTGTACAGGTTCTGTGTGTTGTCACATTGAAGCTGTTGCCAGATGGTGTCAGACTGAAGAGTGACTGGGAAGACGGGGATGCTTTGATCAGGTGGGTGATGGATGGGCTGTTGCTCTGAGGTAGTTTTTTGTGTATCTGCTGTGGGCTTGGGGATGGGCTGTGAGCGAGCTGTGCTGGCAGCGTCAGATGGGAGCATCTCACTGCAGTCATGGAAAGATGTGAAAAATGCATCTGATTCATTGTAACTGTGTTTGTGACCCTTGTCTTTCACCGTTGTTTTTGTCACCTCTCATCTGTGGCAGTGTAGGGTATCACCCTCAGCCAAGTGGGGAGAAGTATATTTAGTGCACGTTATTTAACACAGGATTATGTTAAAAGGACAAATTACTTGGTCAAGGGAAGGAAAACAGCTGTGCCATATGCAACCAGTCACACACAAAAGCAGCTGATAACCCTGGCACATGAGTGCTTGGGAATTTGAGAGAGTTGCTGACAGCTCTCAGGGCACTAACAAGTAAAAGAACTAATACAATGAATAAACAGTTGGACATACGTTAGCTGCTGTAATGGAGCAGGACTGCATCACTGCTGCAGGGCACTGCCAGGCTTTGCAGGGACATCATGCTGTGCCCTTGCCGTGCCCTTTGGCACAGGCGCAGCACAGAGTTGCTATAAGCACTAGAACAATCACGCCTCTGATACGTACTGTGTGATGCAATAGGTGTGTGACAGTCCATGGCAGCCTAGGATGGAATAGCTTGGGCTCATTCTGCCCAGCCCATAATCCAGAAAATACAGGGTAAAACTACATCTCCTTTTCCTTCCACTGTCCCACACCTTCTGTGCTTTGTTTCCTGGAGGGCCACACAGAAATGCAAATTAAGTGCTGGTCTTGGCTAACTTATGGAGTTCTTACACGCAATCTTTCATCTTGTCCCAAGTGGGTGGCCATGTGGATTTTGAAGATTTTGTTGAGCTGATGGGACCAAAACTTCTAGCAGAGACTGCAGACATGATTGGTGTAAAAGAACTCCGTGATGCCTTCAGAGAGGTGAGTGATCCCTTCCGTGTGCCCTCAGAGAAGTGAGCGACACAGGACAGGGTAGAGAGAAGACCCACTGGAGAAGAGAAGAGGAGGAGGAGAAAGCAGCACAGTGGAAGACCTAGAAAGAGCCCAGTCAGGCATGGAATAAGGGAGGAGCAGACAACATTGCTAAGATAAGGGAACTCATGAGGCAAGGAAGAGAAAAGCTGATGCAGACACAGCATTTGCAAGGGTTTTCTGAGGAGAAAAGACAGACTGGATCCAAAAGACACCCAAAGGAGGAAAAGGAGGGACATGGAAGGAATGGAGAAAATATAGGGTGCTCAGGAGCAGGACAGTACAAAAACCAACCCAGAGCAAGATTTGTTTCAAATAACTTTATTTCCCCTGCTGGTATTTTTCATGTACTTGCAGTTTGACACCAATGGTGATGGGGAGATCAGCACCAGTGAGCTGCGAGAAGCCATGAAGAAACTTTTAGGGCAGCAGGTGGGTCACCGGGATATTGAAGAGATCATCCGGGACGTGGATCTGAATGGAGATGGACGTGTTGATTTTGAAGGTGAGAAGGGATCAACGCTCGCTGTCCATCTGCTCTGGTGTGAGTCAGAGTTTCAGATCAGAAGCTGAAGATTTGCATGCTCAGGGCCCAGGGTTCTGAAGTATGGAGAAAAAATAATTCCATTTTTTCAGTCAGATGAATTGTTCATATGTGTATCATCTCCTGATGCACCTCAGTTTTGATTGGTCTCCATAATTCTAGCATGGTAAGAGGTAGAACCTGTCATACAGAAGCAGATCCTGATGCACACATGCTGTGCCTGCCATTGTTATATGGGGCATTTTCCTTCCTTTAAATCTATTGAAAGAGCTGTGAGATGGCTGGATTGCTTTGGAGAATGCTCTACACCTTTCATTTCCTCTGGCTCACCTTTGTTATATGGGCTTATCGAGAGTTTGTTTCTGTGCCTTTATGCCAGAAGATGGTCACATGCCAGCTCTGCTCACGAAGATATCTGATCTATAGGTGTCATGGTAAATCCTAGAGATAACTAATTTCTTCTCACACTTTTCATGCCAGAAGGACTTTGAAAAATAAGAGTGGTTAGGCTACTATCCTAGCCATTAGCTGTGGCAGGAGCAATATTAATAGAGCCCACGGTTTCTGGCAAGGAAGCAGTTGATATCAGACAGCTAAGAAGATATAAGAGCTGGAAGGTGTGAGAGAGTGGCAGGCTGCTTTTTTCCCTGGTAGAAATCCAGATGTCCTTTTGCAGTAAGGGTAAAGTACAGAGACTATAAAATTAAAGTAAAATTTACATAATTTTTTGGCTCAGCAGCATTCCTGGGTCTCCTACATGACAAGGCATCTCAGTCCTCAGGATTACTGAAGCCTCTGAGGGCTTTGAAAGTATTAGAATACCATCAGTATCTTCCTAGAAAGTTTCTGGTAGCTGCAGTTGTTCTAATGCACTGGCTGATTACATGGCAGTAACTCTCCTTATTTCCCACAGCAAAATTATGTTAGACAGCTAAAATACATGAAATGCTATGCCAGTGTCAATTTCTCTGTGAGTTACCACTTTAGTTGTCAAGGGACACCTCCATCAATGGAAAAGGAGAAGTCAAGGCAGTAATTTCCATTGCCCTTCTCTTTGCAGAGTCATTAGTTCCTCTGCAATTCAAGTGCAGAATGAAAACATTTATATTTGATGGCATTTACACTCAATTTGAACAATTGCAATTGACTTCACAAACTGCAGGGAATTCAGGAAATAAATCCAGAGTATCCTTACAGATAACATGTATCTTTAAAAACAAGAAGTCCCTTAAACTAAACTTTACAAGAATGCCAGCATCTAGCAAAACTCTCATGCTTTCCCACACTGGTATCTCTGTGAAGTGGCAAGTTTACTAAGAAATCATACCATGTTCCCAAAACTGTAAATCAAGGTTCTCTGAAGTTACAGTGAAGGGAGACAATGCCTGCTGTAGTGTTGCACAAAGAGTTGTTTGTGAGAGCAAGACCGTAGGTGGCTGGGAAGGAGTCCAAGGCAACGAATTGACCTGCTAGAGGGATCTTATCACCGTATCTAATGCAAGGACTAAAGCCCATGTTGTGTGAGCTCTCAGGGCCAGTCTCAGAGTGCACAGACTTTGCTGGCAGCCTGGGAACTCCCAGTCTCACACTGGCTGCTTGCTGTCTCCAGTGAATGAGAGCTGGGTTGGGGACCATGGATGCCTTCTGGTTCAGGGCTGTCTTGTGTTGTTGGTTGCAGAGTTTGTTCGCATGATGTCCCGTTGAAGATTATTCTCAGCTAAAGAAGAATCAGCACCTTAGAGAGGGCAGAAGAGGACCTAGATGGAGCATCTAGCCCCGATGTTCCTACATGAAGGTTTATCGGCTGGCTGCAATTAGGACATTGCAAGATGACCTGCTGCTCCTCCCTCATGGTGGTCCCCATGCCCCTCCACCCTTTCACACTGTGAAAGACTTGCAACTTCCTACAACTGGAACCATTCCTTGAAGATGATTGCAGGAAACTGCAGAGCCAGGACTTGCCATGATGCTTTCATGGGATATTTGCAACTTTAGACTCCTCCTCCCCAGCTTTATTCTCCCACCAGCTGCTGCAAAGCAAAAGCAGGAGAAATCCTCTTGGCTAGGTGGATGAGAGCAAAGCCATTGGGACTGGTGGCGGCCTCAGGGCGTGCTCTGCACTTCTTGGTTTCCCTTGGTGAACCGTGTCTGTGTTTGCTGTCTCAGTGTGTGTCTATCTGTGTGGAGTTATTTATGCTTCCCCAACACTTATTTGCATCTCCTGTGGTTATGTTTACCAAGAGTAAATTCAAATATATGTCTTGCAGGGGGGAAAGTGATAAATATGCACGTTGAAATGATGTGGAGCCTGGATTGTCCCTGTGAGAGGTGGTGGCTGGGCTGGGGGAGAAGGGCTTGGGCAGATGCACTCGCCAGTGTCTGCACCAGGATCCAGAAGCAAGCCCTTGCCTCAGATAGGGGAGTCAGTGCTGGCTGCTAAGTCTGTGTCAGGAGTCTGCCCTCCCTCCCACTGTCCCCATGGCTAAGGCACCTGGAGGTGCCTCACAGTGAGAGCAGTGCGAAGGGTCCCCATCTCTGCATCCCCTCCACTGGCATGGGCACAGGTGAGAGCCCTTGAAGTATTGTGGGAAGGACCAATGGGAGAAAGGGCCCAGAGGGGAGCAGGGTGGGAAGGGGATATGCAGCAAAACCTCACCCCTTTTCAGATAATTTTGAACACAACTGTGAAGACATGTATGGTGGGGCCATTCTGTGGGGGCTGAGCTGTAACTCCATGGTGCTGAGGATTGTCTGGGAGCCTCCTTGTGTGGCAGTGCCCTGCTCTCCACCCTCTTCGCACTCAGAAATGGTGCATGTCACTGCAGCAGTGACAACAGCAGTCTCCAGGCCCTACCAGCTGCTTCCAGACACATCAGATCTTATCCTCCTTTCTCCAAGCTGCTCCCAAACTACCACTCCCTTCCCCTACTCTACCAGACCTACAGTTGTCTCCTTTCTCTATGCAAAGGCCCAGTCACAAGTTGCCAGGATTAATTTCTGCTTGGCTTCAAAGGGCACCATCATCACTGTGTGTTTCTTGGTGTGACTGGGAGCTGTTTTCCTCTTGGTTGCCTCCTTACTCAAACTGGGAGGTCAAGGACTAATATCCTCCTGCTTCCTCCATCTCAAATCTTTTGCTTCCGAGGTTTTCTTTCAGATTCTTGGGGTCCACAAATCCATGTCACAAAGGAAGATTTTCTCTTCTGCTTTCCTGTGCCAACAAGCATAGCTGTAGTGATGGCTGATGCTCCAGTGATGGAAAAACAATGTTTCTCCTTATATTTGTGTGTGTGTGTGCGTGTTTACTTGTGTTTGCACAGGTGTGTGCACTAGGGAGGGTTTGTGTGTGCACACATAAAAGCAAGGAGTGCAGATAGGTACCTGGGAGTGCAGCAGTAGAAGAGTTTGTGTGTGTGTATGCAAACTGTGTGTGTTTATCTATGGAGCTGGTCCCATCTTGGAAATGTGGGTGTGAGCCAAGAAATTGGAAAATGGATATTTACAGATCTCCACATTTACTGGCTCAGCAGCTGTATTGTTGAGGGTGATATTGAAGATGAGTGTGATAAACTGAACAGAGTCCAGAGTCCTGGTACATTATAAATGTGTTTAGGGTAACACTGGGGAGGGGGAGCTGTGTGCAGGCTTGTGTCTGCCAAAGGGAGTGCTGGTACACAGCTGTGCTTCACTTATAGTGGAGCCTGTTGAGGAAGGAGCTGCTTGTGCATGTGGAGCAGGACAGCTGTGCTGCTGCCTGTGTGCTGCAGAGTGCTGTGCCTGCCTGTGGGCACTGGGGATGGCTTGGGGCATATGCCTTGTGCCACAACCAGCCTGTAGGAGCCCAGTGGATAGTCAGAGGCCACAAGCATGGTGGCTGCCTCTGCCTACTCCTTCCCTGAACAGTCACATCTTTTACCTGCAGCATCAGATGGCAGGACAGTCTTTATTTAAAATGGTTACCACATGTCTAGAGGCTGGACTGATCCACAGTGCATTACGGTGGCTGGGCATCTTCCCTGCAAACTACAGCTGGTTTTGCTTAAACAGGTCCCTAGAGGTGCTTGTAGTGTGGCAGAACTGTGCCTGTCGTCCCAAAAGTACTAGGCAAAGTCTGGCTGTAGGACACCTTTGTGTCATTGCAGAGGCAATCCTGGAACCACAGCTACTTCTGAGGAAAACTGAGTCTGCCAAATCATCTGTAGCTCCTTTCTGCCAGGTCTCATGATGATACAGTGAACAGGTCAGACAGGGCAGGTCTCAAAAGCCTTTTTTTTTTTTTTTTTTTCTTCCAGCAGAAGCTCTTGAATTTCTGCTGCTAGCCTGATTTTACTTTCACAACAAACCCCAAATTATTCCAGAGTTTTACTGTTTTCTCGTGTAGTCAGGGGCAAAGATTAAAGATCCAATCTAAATAATCTAATTCCAGAGATAATCCTTTTGCTCTCATCTCAAATTTGGTACCAGGGAGGCTTCCAAGGAGCTGTACATGACAGGGCACAGCTGGTCCCTTGTGGGCACCTGAGCCTTGTAGCCCTGAACCATTTGAGAGGGCTGTGGGGCAGTGGGGCTGGCTCACACTCATTTCTTAGATCTCTCATTAGCCATGAGATCTGCCTCTGACCCACACATCTTCGCTGCTCTTTTTGGACATCCCATTTCCAAGCAGGACTCCTAATCCCATTTTCAAGGAGGAAATGGCTAATATCCTAAACACATGCCCCTTGTTGCTTGTGAACAATCAGGGTGGTGGGTAGACCAGGCAGGACTGATTCAAGACAGTCATTTTGGCACAGCTGCCAACGGACAGGGACAGATCAAGGGATTGAGAAAATTACCCTGAGCCTTTCACTTGTAGGTTACTGGTGTAAATCCAGCCTGCATCAAGGGACAGACTGATGGCTCAGTGGATTAGTAACAGGATGGAGCCTTTGACATCTGGGGCACAAACCTGGCATCAAGTTGCTGGTGTCACGGAAGGTATTGATTCGGGGCAGCAGTGTAGGACACCACAGACACAATTCAAACAGCATCTGCCATCCTCTGCCAGGAGCTGTGACCAGCCTGTGAGCCAGGGCAGGGCTCCTCTTGCCCCCAGATGAGCACAGCCACTGTCCCTCCTCACTGCTGCTCAGTTAATCCCTCTTGCTTTTTGATGTACTACTGATTCTTGGGAAATGATCATCCAAGCTCGATCATCCAAGCTCGTTTTTAGAAAATGCTCACCCTGGGGACACCTGGTAACACTTAAAGTGAGGCTCTTTTGTTTATGTGCTTCAAAGTTGTGTTCCTGAGCCACACATCGCAGTTTGAAGTGTAGGATTAGGGAGGATCATTTGTAATCAGCACAAATTAGCTCTAATGAGGCCTCCCTCGGCCTCTCCAACTGGACAGCATTGTCCTGGCCACGGCTGCTTGCACTCCTTTGGTAACAGAGCTTGGGGGACACCCAACAGGTCACAAACACAGCAGGGATACAGATTAGCCTGGATTTGATCAGATGCTGCCAGGGCTGGGGTCTGTAGTGCTGAGATGATTTGCCAGGAATCAGCGTGAGGTGGCTGAATCTGGAGAGGTGCTAAGTGTACGCATTTCATGCTACTAATCTGGATGTGGTTTCCTAAGGCACACAGTAGTTTTAGGAACCCCTTCCTGGCAGCAGTGCCCTGTCTGTCCTGGCCCAGTTATACCATGAGCCTAAGAACTGATGTCACAGCAGCAGGAACATGCTTTGGGGTGCACTCCAACCCGGGGAGAGCAGACTGGGGAGCAGGGCGTGGGTGGATACGCATTCTCCCAAACAGTTCATTTCTCCAAGACTGTGTGGTTAAGAGGCCCATAGGTGCATTACAAAAGCAACAAATGCATTTAATTCTCAGTCAGCAGCACCAAGTCTTTATTTATAAAAGCAAACGCTATGCAAAATACTTGAATTAATAAAACTGGCACTTAGAAGCAGCTACTGCTAATGCAGCCGGTGCCAAGAGCACAGGCCTGAGGCCTGGCCGGTCCCTAATGCCTCAAGGAACACCGTGGTCAGACAGAAGAGCAAACATTAAGTTATTTGTTCCCGCTTTGTGTAGGGACTGAGTTTCATTTGACCTCCATCTGAGATATCTCTCTCCAGCCACCTTGCCAAGGTCCTCTAGAAATAAACCCAGGATTTTACATGCTCCTATAAAGTGCAAGCTAGGGATCAGCCCGCTGGCAGTGTCACGGTCACCTCCCCGCCTTCCCCTTCACTGGCCGCTTTGCTTCTCAGGCAGATCATTGTGGTGCAAGCTGCTTGCACGCCACCGGCCGCTTCGCTCCTTACCGGGCGAGCGGCAGCTGCCTGTTCCCTTCTCCATGGCAGGGGCGAACAGGAGAAGCACCGTGTTCTGCCAAGACAGCGAGCCGGGCTTGGGAGCCGCTGCTCAGAGCACAGCCAGCACGGGCTACCCGGACGTGGCGAGCAGCCGCCCCCGACGGCGGTGGAGCTCCCGCTGCCCCAGCTCCACTTCCAGCCCCTTCCCCGAGCACATCGGGTGCACGCCGGGTCCGCTCCGGTCCGCGCTGCCGCAGCGCCGCCCGTTGCCCCGGCAACCCTCCCGTCTGCGCTTCCCGCCGCCCCACCGTGCTCCGCGTTCCGCCGCGCTGGAGCA